TTGGTTTTTAAAGTTTTCATTGCACAAATCAAAAAAATTAAATATAGTCTATGAGAAATGTCTAAAAGACATTTTCGTCCCATAGATACCGAAGTGCTCAGTGTTGTAAATCTAAGAGGGAGTGCTACTAACAAAATGATTAATGATGTCCCAGGAACAAAGCACTTGCAGTAATCTTTAAAAGCAAGTGTTACTCATATTCATATTTGTTAACACTAGTCAGGTATTGAGTCCTAATTATTTTTGCATTTTCACTTTTTTACTCTTGGGGGCCTAAAGTTATACCAAAGCTCTATATTTTTGTAAGAAGAAAATGAAATTCTTCCATAGTATAAATATATTAATATAATTATTTTGAAGAAATATATGACTAAGAAAGAATACATTGAATTCAAAACTCCAGTAAAAAAATTTTATACTCATTAAATCTTACTTTTTGTCAGTGTAGAAATTTTAAAAATTCTCAATCATTTATTATCTATTATATTCACCATTTTCTGAAAGATACTTTGAGGATATAGCAATAATAGTTCTAGATGATATACCAGTGGATATTCAACAAATAGAGTTAACAATGCTTATGCTAATCACCTTGACAGAAAAGTTTCTCGTGCAGTTACAAGTTTATTAGCAAGTGAGTGGCCTTTGATTTTGTCACAGAATTTCTAAAGACTGCATTTTAAGTAGATATATTTATTTAAAAAATACAAATAATGGTAATAAATAAGGCATGCATAGTTAAAATCATTATGTCTTCAATAATATTACTGGATATATGAGAATTATAAAGAGCAAAAGTGTATTTGAAGTGAGCTAATAGAATTAATTGTATTCTGGGTTCTCTAAAGATATATTTAAATGACAAAATTTAAAAACAATTTATATCTATAGTTCATACAGTTGACTCTACAAATAACTAATTGTAAAACACAGATTTTTAATCATAGAAGCTGATAGGATATTTTAAATCAGGTAAATACTTGAAAATGTATGGTTTACTCATTTTAGAAATTAACACGTGTCATTTATCTTGATTTCAAAATTTTAAATAACATTGAGTCTTTCTAGAATAGGAAAATTAACACTGTCCTAAGGATAAACCATAAGCATGAAAATTTGTATAAAAATCTATATTGCTTGTCAGGTAAAGTAATGTTTAACTCATGAAAATAGGTTATATATCTTCAATGTAGTAGTACCTAAATAGAAAATCTCAATTGGATATATGAAAAATGGTGATTCTTACGTCCTTAGCGTTTTCTTCATAATAACATTATATATTTTGTGGTAAAGGGTTCTCATTGAGGGCTAATGAGATGGAGATTGATGGCAACTAAATAGGAATCCTGCAGGAGGGTGGTTTTCCTTTTATTACTAATAGAACACTCTAACACCACATCTCAGTTGTTCTCATTTAACATTTCAGTTGCTAATTTATTACCTAACTAAAAATGAGTTATTATAAGTTGAAGACAGCCAGAGGATACAAATGATGGAGAAATATGGATAGAGTTTTATATGAGAGGTTTTTCACTAATTCTGATGCTTCTCTAATTTACAACTCTTGGGAAAGTTATGTGGTTACTTTGTATTTTATTCACTAATCAAAAGTAGGAATCCTAGGGGCTGGGGATTTAGCTCAGCGGCAAAAGCGCCTGCCTGGTAAGCGCAAGGTCGTGAGTTCAGTTCCCGGTACCGGAGAAAAACCAAAAA